AAGAACTGTCATGTAGTTGGTTGTAATTAAGGATTTTCAGTGTCCTTTTATCTCGCTCGGGAGTATAACGTGGTCCACCCAGCATTGCTAGCATAATACAGCGCTTAGTTTAAATATATTCAATGCTAATTTAAGACTAATTAACTCCAAAACCTATTCTGCGTAAAATCTATTCAATGATAATTTAAATCGCTTGTATCAAATATATTCGAACTAATGCAATTAAAACTAATGCAATGCAGTATTTATCATTTATCAGTTCATAAAGAAATGAATTTGAAAATTTTTTATTCATAAATTTATAAACTTTTACTAATTTATAAAAGTATGTGAACAAACTATAAGGAAATACTTATTGTTTACTTTTTTTATAAAGTTCTAATCAATTGGCAATCAGCCGATGTTTTGCCAACCATTCCAATAAACTATTTATATATATTGGTTTATATTTATAAATAAATAGCGTTTATTATTTTTGCTGTCAATTCTCAAGAACAAAAGTTTTAATAAATTTCTACAAAACATTTTTTAAAACAATAAACATTGCCGAGGACTGAAGGTAGTTAAAATAACAGCGTGTCATGGAAAAAAAGCATCGTCTTTTTTACTTCGGATACAAAGGTTCAAATTCGCAAAGAATTCTCCTGTAGGATCCAGGAAATGTCGAAAATTTAATATAGCATAGAAAATTAGACTGCAAATATTATAATTACCAATAACAACATGTCTATGAAATCTAAACTCCAGGTCACTAATACAATCTATTAATCAATTGTCAGGTCATCTTGTAATAAAATAAGCCTTCAAATGAATATATTGGTTACACAAAAGCTCTTTAAATAGATGCCTAAATAACCAATTAATTGAACTTAATTCAATAAGGAAACACTTAAATACACACGCCAATTCTCTTCACAGTTCCGTATCGATAATAAATTTACTCTAAAAAGTTCTAATTGTAAAAGACATTTAAAGATAATGAAAGCACATCTTATAAAATACTACAGACCTATGGTGGAGATTACTTGCATTGAAGCCAGCAGAAAAGTTTTGTGAATGCTAAGAATGTACGCCAACATGGAATTATAATCTTCTATACAAAATAGAAACACAGAAATATACTAACACTGAACTCTTTGAAGTAGGCGAAGAATTAGCTCAAAGCAAACGTAAACTCAGAATTCATAAAACTCGAGGAGAATCGTTTGGAGTCGTTGTGATGCACGATGTGACCCCAGTTCTCTTTATTCTAGCCAAAAAGTGTGTTTGATTCGGCAAAAGGCATCAGCACAATAATCAAATCATATATGCGGAAAGTCTGGCGGCTCGGTTGCAAGATCTGAGATACATAAGTGGAAAACGACGGGGAAGTCTATTTTAGCGTGCCGACTCCAGAGTTTCGTTGACGGCCACTCCGAGAATCCCTCCGTCCACTCGTCAGGGGGTTTCAATATTTGACTACTCATACTTTTTCAATTTTTTCTTTTTTATATGCACTGTTCAATGCAGCCATTTTTTTTCATAGTGTATGTGTTTGTGCATATCTGTGTGTGTATGTATGTATATATATATAATGTTTTATTTTCCATTATTATGAAAAAAATAAAGCATAACATATTTATTTTTAAAAATCCACAACCAAAAACGTTTGCCGTTTCTCTCTCTTGCATTTTGTCTCTCTCTCTCTCTTTTATTTTAAAAAAAAAAAATTTTCTTTATCGCCTGTGTGGACTGCCTATATCAGTATATATATATATATATATAGTGACCACAGCATATGCCTGGGGACTTGCTTCAGCAATTGGCTGGAAAATCGTCACCAGCTAAGCTAGTCAAACTCTCTGCCTTTGGGCGGAGAGTTTCTCAGACGAGCCTATGCCGAAGGGCATAGGCTTGTCTGGGGTGGTAGACACCTACCTGACCCCGTTTTTTACGGCCTCAACGGGGAATTTTTGCCCGAGCCTACTGATTTGATTTTTACCCCGCATTAAAAATGGCCTTGTGCCACATCCTGCCTCACGGAGTGTTGAGGTAAATAACCTTGCTTCGGCAATTAGTTGCAGGTTCGTCTCCAGCTAAACTAGTCGAACTGCCTTCGGGCGGAGAGGAACCCAGACGAGGCTATGCCGAAAGGGAAGAGTCTCGTCTGCGGTGGTAGACAGCTGCCAGACTCCGTTTTTACGGAGTCTGCTGGGAATTTTTACCTGACCCCGTGTATGCGGGGTCTATGTGGAATTTTTGCACGAGCCTATGGGCTCTTTTTTGAATCCGCATTAAAAAAACAGCCTTGTGCCACGTCGTGCCACGTCGTGCCACACGGGGGAGGGGTTAGGTAAATATCATTGCTTCGCGAACAGCGGGGGCACCAGACCATATATGGCAGCAGTATCCCATGCAAGGGCGAATGGTTGATTTATAGATTTGAAGAATGGACTCAGGCGAGAAAAACTTTTTGGCGCGTCACAGGGAACCAAGTTTCCTTGCGGTGGATGAAGCTATTGATTCAATGTAATTGTTCCATCACAGGTCAGCGGACAGTGTGAGACGAAGCAGTCGTAAATAGGTGCTCTCGTAGAGTCGAGCATCAGACATTATAATGGGCGACATAGATGGTTCCCTGTGGTGAGTAATAGAGAGCAGGTTTGTTTTAGAGGCGTTTAGAGGTTAACCAGCCAATTCCTGCCCCAGTCTACAACCGATTGGAGGTCCTTTTCGAGACTAACAGCCAAATTAGTTTAGCAGCGATACCAGACTTGCTATTTAGGGAAAATCTTGTTGAAAGTACATCTATACTTTTTCATGAAAATAATAAAGAAATTCTTGAAGCTATCTATATTAAAATTTGAATCCACACCCTAACAGTAAGAAATTAATCTAAATTTTTCTACGATGGTCGTATCTGTAAAAATTACTTGATGAATATAATGTGAGTGCTATAATTTTGAACTACATAGTAATCTTTAAAATTTCGGATAATATTCTATGTAATTTAATGTTTTATTGAATTTTAGATATTTTAAAATTAATTTACTATAGTTGTTCGCCCTTATTTTCTGATAATGTTGAGTATGGACTTTCCGTATTTACAAATATCGGTACTTTTATACGCACAAAAACATTTTCAAATTCTTTCTAAAATAAAATATTAGTGGTCAATTAATTGTACTAAGCTTTTCCAATTATGATTAGTAAATATAGCTTTTAATTAATAATAATATCATCTAATGGAGACAAAGTAATGCAGAAATTTAAAACTTCATGAATTATTTAAGAAAAAAAATGGAAAATTCTTGTAAAAATTCATCGAAATTATTTATTCTAAAGACAATTCTGTCTATATTATACCCTAATCCTATTAGCAATTAAAAGCTTTTCTAATTAAATAATACCTGAGTTTTATTACAGTTTTTATTTTACAATTCAGAGCAGATTTTCTGTAAGTGGGGGTCCTGCTTTGCAAAAAGAAATTCATGGTTTAAATTCTCGAAAGATTTCTGATTTTAACTAAAAATATTAAGTGAGACAAAATTAATTTCGCGAAATTTTATGAAATTAAATAAGGGAGTAAACAGATGTAAAAATAAATAAATAAATAAACAGATTAAAAAAGGGGGGATTTCGGAAAGAATTACATTCATTTGTGCATAAGTCCTGAAAGTTTCATTCAAATCTGACAATTATTTGATTTTTGCAAGAATTTCCAAATCGATGTATTTTACGCAGCGAACACGCTAAAATTTCCTATAATCATCTCCGTACACACAGCCGACGCAAAAAAAAAGATAAAAATCTAATTTAATAATAATATTGGTCTTTCTTCTTAATAATATAACATAAAGATTTCGGCAATAAAACTTTGTTTTTATTAAATTTTGTCCATTTTTTTCATCATAGTATGTTAATTTTTATCGAATAAGTAAATATATATATATATATATATATATATATATATATATATATATATATATATATATATGTATATTAATTAATACCTACATACTTACATACGTACATAGATACCTGCCTCCAGAGATATGTGTTTCCATGTACACTTATATAGGCAGACAAATGACTAGATTTCCTTTGATTTTTTATAGAGAAAAGTTAATGCAGAATCCATTCTATTCTTAGGCGTCTGCTGTATTCCAAATACGGGCAAATTCTTTGATGAGATATATTTATTTCTTCATAACATGGTTTCTTGCTATTTTGGGCTGTTCCTTCATCGCCTCTTTTTTATTATTATGATATTTTTCTACATTTAATAAATATATGATTCATGCCTTTGAAAAAAGTCGAGAAATAAGCGATAGATTGCAAAATGCGCGAGACAGGAGGCGTAAGTAGACGAGAAAAGACCAAACAATATGGAGGCGTCGTTAAGTCTGCTCGACCGGTTATGTCTGGTATGGCGTCGTCTCGAAGATAGGTTGGTTGACCTATTGAAAGTGAGAAAAACGAAATAAATAAATGAACAAAGAAAAGAAGAAGCAAAAAAAAAAAATAAAGCTAAAAATTTAAAATAAGATGAGTAGAAATTAAACAAACGAGAAACAATTTGAAATTAGACAAAAAATGAGAGAGATGCTGGCACCATAGGACGAAAGAGGCTAAATAAATTTGATGGAAAACGAAGACCAATCAAGAAGGAACTGTATCTTCTTAGGATTCAAAATAAATAAATAATTGTAAAGATGAAAGACGCAGCCGAAAAAGAAATAAAATTAATTTTCAAAAAAGCAAAAGTTTAAAGACAAAAAAAAAAAAAGCGATAAATTAGCAAAAAAAAAAATGGCGCTGGTATTGTGTGGGTAAACACGATAGAGACTAAAATGGCCGAAGACTTAAAAGACTGAACGTAAACAAAGGGAGACGCGAATGATTAAATAAAGATTGATCGATTAGTTTATTGATCGATTGATTGAACAAAAATGGTAGAAATTGACGGGGACATAAAATAAAAGTTAAAACAAAAGAGGAAGATATTAAGTAATTAACACGATAAAGAATAGGAAAGTAGGGAAAAAAACATGTATGAAGACGAAAGAGAGTGAAAGAAAGAAATATGAATGAAAAAGAAAGAGATTGAAAAAAAAGAAGGAAATATGGAAGAAGAAGAAAGAGGTTGAAAATGGCAAGAAATATGGATGAAAAAGAAAGAGAGTTAAGGGAGGAAAGAAAAGGATGAAAAATAGAGGGAAAAAGGAACAGAGTGAAAAAAAGGAAGGTGATATAGAATAGGAAGAAAGAGAGTGAAAGAAGGAAAGAAATATGAATGAAGACGAGAATGAAAGAATAGCAGAATAATAAATTCGTCAGTAAATAAATATGAGCCAAGAAGAATAGATTTGTATTATATATCAAATATTTACAGGGTTTTTTAAGCGTTTCACCCCAAACAAGGCGGAAAGCCACTAGCACGCCAGGGGTTACAGACAGTTGGATTAAGAGCAAAGAGGATTGATAGAGGAAAGAATGAAGAGAAGGATAGGGGATAGATCAGGGCATCTGGAGACGTCGACTGATATTACATTTGAAAAATTGGAAATTATAGCTATCAAGTAAACGGGAAAAGGGGAGCGAGATGTGAAGCTATTGGAGTAGAAGAGACGACTGTATTTAACAGTTTTGACAGTAAAAGGGTGAGAGCGATATGCCAGCCTAGAAGAACGCTTAAATTCATGAAGTCTGGGAACCAGCGAAAGCAGCTCATCGGATCAGTTACCATGAAAGTATTTGTAAAAAAGACAAAGGGAGGCAACGGCACGTTTGTGAGAGAGCGACTGCAGACGAGATGCCAGATCAGGGCCAATTACATTGCATATCCGTCTCTGGATTTGAAAGCCAGAAATATATAATTTTTGTTTTTGGTATACTGATTTTTACTGATGGAAGTTCAATAACCCATAGTTGTGTGGGAAAAGATGTGGATCCATATCTTTACCAAAGGTATTTGTGCGTATGTGAAAATAAAAAAATATGGATCCATATCTTCCCAAAGGGTATTCTTCAGTAAGCGAAAATAAAAGCGGTGAATTCCTATATTCCCCAAAGGTATTTGTGACTAAGCGAATATAAAAGACGTGTATCCCTACCTTTTCCAAGGATATTTGTTTGTAAACGAATATGAAAGAGATGGATCCATATCTTCCATTCGATTGAAATTGGAACTCGGCTCTCCTATTTGCAATTTCGCGCGGATATCCTTTACATACAACGCCTAAGCTGTTATTCCCAGGCTGTCGCCCATTCCTTACTGATTAGGCTATACTTTGCTTAACTTCGGTGATTTTACGAAAATGATACTTCAACGTAATATTGCCGTAACAGGTTTAAAATTGCAGTAGTAAATAAGAAAAGAGATAAATATATTCATGAAGAAATATTTTTTTAAAAACCTTTGAAATGTCTCGAAGAACAGAAAAAGAAAGAAAATATTTTGCAGATTTTCAAAGAATAAAGAAAGGAAATAAATTAAGAAGAAAAACAAACAACAAAAATTTGGGGAAAATGGTGAAGAATTAAAGAACTAAAAGTAGATAGATAGATAGATATGACTAGAGCAAAATAGACAGACAGATAGATAGATAGATAAATAGATAGATAGATAGATATAAATAGACCGAAATAGATAGATAGATAGATAGATAAATAGAGAACAAAGATGATTTAATAGATAGATAGATAGATAGATAGATAGATAGATAGATATGAATAGAGCAAGATAGATAGATAGATAGATAGATAGATAGATAGATAGATATGAATAGACCGAAATAGATAGATAGATAGATAAATAGAGAACAAAGATGATTTAATAGATAGATAGATAGATAGATAGATAGATAGATAGATAGATAGATATGAATAGATAGAAAATAGATAGATAGATAAATCGATAGATAGATAGATAGATAGATAGATAGATAGATAGATAGATAATGAACAGACCGAAATAGATAGATATGAATAGACCGAAATAGATAGATAGATAGATAGATAGATAGATAGATAGATAGATATGAATAGATAGATAGATAGATAGATAGATAGATAGATAGATAGATAGATAGATAAGGTAACAGGTTAAAATAAGGACGGAAAAAAACCCTAAAGACCAAAATCTATCCGAAAAAATCTCAGCCTTTTATCGTAAAACTGGACAAAATCTCAGTCTCTTATATAAAAAGAAACAAATTTAACATTGAAAATTCAAGGAATTTTAATTCAAGTTTTAATGTCAAATTGAGGCATTAATAATAATAATAATATTCAATATATACATTTATATGTACGAAAAATTATTTCGCGAACAAAATCTATATTTCCAGCCTTAATTTCGCATAATATTTGGGATACAATCTCCGTAGTTTGCGCTTTAGTGCAAATTTTACAAAAGACGATTCACATAAAGTCTTCACATAAAGTTGGATCTTATAGGAGAGTAAGTGTTTCCAACTATGAATTATACTGGTTATGTGACGTAGATTTGTTAGAAAACGTTTTTTAGAGGCTGGGTCTGTTTGCTATGAATTTCTGTTGAAAAATTAGCGGACAGATAATCTCATGAAGTATTCGACAGAAATTGATCTTTCTAGTACACATGGCCGGTGTGTTCTGCTATAGAACGTCGTACCCATCAAGCCTGTTTGGAGACCCCTGGGAGTGCTTTGTAACCCTCGCACCCATCAAACCTGTTTGGAGACCCCTGACAGTGCTTTGTAAGCCTCGCACCCATCAAGCCTGTCTGAGAGTGCTTTGCGACCCACGCCCTTCAAGCCTGTTTGAGTGCTTTGTAACCCCCACATACCTGTCAAGCCTGTTTGGAGACCCCTGGCATTGCTTTGTAAGCCTCGCACCCATCAAGCCTGTCTGGAGACTCCTGGCAGTGCTTTGCGACCCTCGCACCCATCAAGCCTGTTTGTAGACCCCTGGCAATGATTTGTAACCCTCGCTGTCTTATCAGCATTTGCTTTTTTTCTACCTACATTTATATATGTTAGAAATTAATCTGAGCACAAATGAAAGATGAATGATTTTCGCGGATTTTGACGTCATTCTGGGATCATTTTTCTTTGTCCAAATCCATGAATTTGTTTTGCTTATGCAAAGTCACAAAAAACATTATATAAAATTCACTATTTTTCATCCATAATGTTGGATGTGTTAAAATTATTCAAGTTTTTAACAAGAACAATTTCAAGTTGATATTAAAAAATTGCCACAAAACATTGAAAGAGAAAAGAAAAGAGAGAAAGAGAGAATGAAAAAGAGAAAGAGAAAGTGAAAGAGAAAAAGAGAAAGAAAAATGGAAAAGAAATTGAGAAAGAGAAAGTAAAGCGGAAAGAAAGAGAGGAGGAGAAAAAGAAAGAAAAAACGGAAAGAGAATAAAGGAAAGAAGAATGGAAAGTAAGAAGGAAAGAGAAAGAAAAGCGGAAAGAAAGAGAGGAAGAGAAAGAGAAACGAAAAATGGAAAGAGAAAAAAAAAAAAAATTGGAAAGAAAGAGGGAAAGAGAAAAAGTGAAAGAAAAATAGAAAGAGGGAAAGAGTAAAAACGAAAAGAGAGAGAGGAATAGAAGGGGAAGGAGAAAGTAAAACTAAAAGAGAAAAAGTGAAAGAAAAGCGGAAAGAAAGAGAGAAAGAGAAAGAAAAGCGGAAAGAGAAAAAGAGAAAGAAAAGCGGAAAGAAAGAGAGGAAGAGAAAGAAAAGCGGAAAGAGAAAGACAAGCGGAAAGAAAGAGAGAATGAGAAAGTAAAACAGAAAGAAAAAAGAAAAAATGGGAAAGAGAGAAAGAGAAAGTAAAACGGAAAAGAGAAAAAAAGAGAAAAAAAGAGAAGAGAAAGTAAAACGGAAAGAGAAAAGGAAAAGAAAAGGGAAAGAAAAAAGGAAAAAATGTAAATATACGGAATCGAAAAATGAGTTTAAAATTCAAACGCCTTTTGAAATACAAAAGAAAATCAACGGAAAATAAAAAAATGAAAAAGATAAGAAAAAAAAAAATAGGAAAAAGGAAAGAAAAATAATTCCAAAAAAGAAATAAAAGAAAATAAGGAAGAAACAAATAAAAGAATTAACATTAAGTTCCATAAATGACAGCAGAAATTATCAAGGTTAATTATATGTGTATATGTTATGGATTGAATCCAACCAAGCATAAGAAAAAAGCATAGAAAACGGAATACAAAATATTACTACCCCATACAACTAATATGATCAACAGCAATAATAAAAATGTTGAAGTTTTAAGGTGACTTGTTGTCACTTGACCCTCGTTGAGCTCCAGCAGCAAGAGGCAGTCTGAAAATGTCAATATTGATGGTGCCAATGTGAATGATGAAAGAAAAACAAGCGTGAATAATCGAATCGTTGATAACAATGATGACCCCCCGTAATGATGTTGATGGCCAGAAATTGAATGAAAATATAGAAGAAGAGGAAGAAGAAGAAAAAGAAAAGGAGAACAAAAAGAAAATGAAGAAGAAAAGAAAAAGAAAATCTAGAAAAAGAAGAAGAAAATGAAGAAAAGAAGTAGAAAAAGACAAAAAAAAAGAAGAATAGAAGAAGAAGAAAACGAATAAAAAAGGGAAGAAAAAGAAAACGAAGAACGGGAAAAGAAGAAAATGAAGAAGAAGAAGAAGAAAAGGAAAATGAAGAAAAAAAAAGAAGAAAAGGAGAAGAATCAAAATAAAATGAAGAAAAAGGAGAAAATAAAAAAGAGGAAGAAAATAAATTGAAGAAAAGAAGAAAAAAAAAAAGAAAAAAGAAGAAATATACTAAGAAAAAGAAAATGAAAAAGAAAACGAATAAAAGAAAGATAAAATGAAGAAAAAGGAAGTAAAAGAACAAAAAAATTTTAAAAAAGAAAAAAGTAAATAAAGAAAAAAGAAGAAAAATAAAATGAAGAAAAAGAAGAAGAAAAAGGAAGTAAAAGAAAATGAAGAGAAAAAAGAAAAAAAAAAAAAAGTAGAAGAAGAAAAGTGACTGAATCAAAAACTGTTATACTTAATAACAGCCAAAATTCTAGTTTTGAAATTAATAACAAAGCGTGAGAATTGTAAAAAAGAAAAAAAAGGGGGGCGAGAGTTCCAAATGGGAAAAAAAGAGGCCAGAATGGGAGAAAATTAAAAACATAAAAAGAAAAAGAAAAAAAAAGGGAAAGAAAAAGAAAGAAAATTGACAATAAATATAACAAGAATCGCCACAAAGAAAAAAAGACGTAAAGAAAGAAGACAAGAGAAAGAAATCTGAAGACAATAATTGACAAAGAAATAAAGAAAGAAAAATGGACAAATGTGAAAGAAAAAGGACAAAGAAATAAAGAATGATAATTTATGAGATATAGAAGAAGTGAGAGAAAAAAAAAAGAAAAGGAAGGAAAGCAGACCGAAAGAAATACAAAGAAATGAATTGACAGTAGTAGAGAAGAGAATAAATAAATAAAGAAAGATATGTACAAGGAAATAAAAGGGCGAAAAGAAAAAGAAAAGTAAAAAGAAAGGAGAACGAAATAAAGAAAGAAAGAATGGACAAATAAAGAAATAAAAAAGAAACGTGAAGAAAGAAAGAAATCAAAAGGAAAGAGAAAGAAAAACGAAATATATAATAAAAAAGGGGATTACAAAAAGAGAGATGAGATAGAAAGTAGAATGAAATACATAGAAAAATCAATATATAAAAAAGAAAAAATAGGTTGGAAGATAAAAAAAAGAAAACAAATGAATAGATAAAACGAAAGAAAAGTAACAAATACTGAATGAAAAAGAAAGAACAGACAAATGAAGAGAAGGAAGATAAGAAAAAAAGAAAGAAAAACACAAGCAAGAAGAAGAAAGACAAAAGCAATAAAAGGAAAAGGAAAAAGGCGTCAGAATTATTAAAAAACACAATAAAATGATTATCAAAAGACAGAAACGATCGAACGGCCATTGATTAAAAAAGAGTAAAAGATGATTTTCAATGTAAGAGAAAGACAATTAAATCAAAATGTCTCTGTGCACGAAAATATTAAACAAACCCAAGATCCACCAGGACCGACCCCATCCAGACGAGGAGACTTGATCTATTAGTGTAAACAAGTAAAAATAGAGTGTGTTAATGTTTAGATATAGCTATGCCAGAAAAAAAAAAGGTGGGGTTGGGGTAGCAGGGTGTTAGCCGAGAACAGATGAGAAGACCGTAAATGATAACAAAGTCCATAAGAGTTTGGGTTTTAAAAGATTCAACCATAGTCGGGATTATCGAGTCAATGCGAATGATCTTTAAATTAGCTGCATAGCATGTGCTTTGCCACAGCTACATACAGTTTTGAATTCAAAGCTTTCCTTCTATTAAACCTGTTGCCTTCCAAGGCTATAGAACCCAGTCTGTTAAGGAGTCGACCGTAGTCGGAATCATCGAGTCAACGCGAAAGAGTCTTTCCTTAGTCGCATAGTATGTGTTTCCCCAGGGCTACATACAGTTTTGAATTCAGAGTTTTCCTTCTCCTAGACTGGTTGCCAGCAAAGGTTATAGAAGTAAAGTCTGCCCTAATATTTACTCATCTTACTTATTTAAGCGGGATCCATACCGGTAATACAATTTAACCCATATCTAGGGGGTGGATTTATACCTATACTTGGAAACATGAAGAAAATCGTGGAAATGAATGTTTTGAATTCAGAGATTTTCTTCTCGTAGACAGTTTGCAATCCCAAGGCTATAGAACCCAGTCTGTTTTACTATTTAACCTATATCTAGGGGGTGGATTAATACCTATTCATGGAAAATGGTGAAAATGACAGTTTTGAATGTAGAGTTTTCCTTCTCCTAGAAAGGTTGCCACTCATGGCTACAGAACCTATCCTACTATTTACCCATAGCTGAGGGGATGGATTCATACTTGTTTTTAGAAACCTTGTACAAAATTGTGGAAATGAGATTTTTGAATTACGAGTTTTCCTTCTCCTATACCGGTTGCCACCCAAGGCTATAGAACCCAATATGTCCTAATATTTACCCATGGCTGGGGGAGTGGGAAGGGATGGATTAATACATCTTGGAAATTTAATAAAAACTGGTGGAAATGACAATAGATGAATCAGAAATTCGACAAAATAGTCTCTTCTGTGTTTTGAAAAGATATGGAGAAGGGTGCTTTAATATGAGTTAACTTATCGCTATACATCTTCCTCGATAACTTACATTCATGAATATTCAAGTGCAGGAAATATGGGTAAAAACAATAAAACATTGTTGTATTCCAATGTTGTTTTATAGCTTCGTTCACCGCAAGGAAAGTTGGCTCCCTATGCCGCGCCAGGAAATTTTTCTCGCCGGAGTCAATCCTTCAAATCTACAAATCAACCATTCGCCCTTGCATGGAGTATTGCTGCCATATATGGCCTGGAGCCCCTTCCGTTTGTCTCAATGTCCTTGATAAAATCCAGAGACGGATATGCAATGTAATTGGCTCTGATCTGGCATCTCGTCTGCAATCGCGCTTTCACAGACGTGCCGTCGCCTCCCTCTGTCTTTTATACAAATACTTTCACGGTAACTGCTCCGATGAGCTGCTTTCGCTGGTTCCCAGATTTCATGAATTTAAGCGTTCAACTAGGCTGGCATCTCGCTCTCACCCTTTCACTGTTGAAACTGTTATATGTAACCGTCTCTTCTACTCCAATATCTTCATGTGTCGCACCTCTCACCTGTGAACGCCCTACCCTCTTCGCGTTTCCCTGATAGATATAATCTTCAACTATTCAAATGTAATGTCAATAGACATCTCCAGTTGCCTTGATCTATCCACTATCCTTCTCCTCATCCTTTTACTCTATCACTCCTCTTTGCTCTCGCTCCAACTCTCTGTAACCCCTTGCATGCTAGTGGCTTCCCGCCTTGCCTGGGGTGAAACGCTTAAAAAAAAAAGGTATTGTTATGACATTTTTTTACCCTCGACTTCTTCAATTATCGGTTGGGTGTAACTAGGAGTCAAAGAAACACTTTGATTCTTCTTCCATCGGATCCTTTCAGATAACGTGGCGACACCAATCCCCTCTCCAAGCCCTTGACCGACGGCCGAAGTCCACAGAATTTGGTGTGTGTCACCCTCAGTCTGTACAGTAGGTTTTAAATTCATTCTCTTACTACATTGGTTGCCATCCAAGGCTATAGAATCCAGTCTGTCCTACTATTTACCCATAGCTAGGGGGATGGACCCCTTCTTGGAAACATTTACAAAATAGTGGAAATGAGAGTTTTGAATTCAGAATTTCTTTCTCCTAGACCGGTTGCCAACCAAGACCAAAGAACCCCGTCTGTCCGACTATTTACCCATAGGTAGGGGAATGGATTCATACCTGCTCTTGGAAACATATACAAAATATTGGATATGAGAGTTTTGAATTGTTGAATTTCTCATCGCCATTGAACATAACAATGATGAGGATATTAGTCTGAATGGAAATAATGAAAACGTCTCCTCCTATAGATCAAACAGTATGTATTGTTGTATTCCACTCACGTTCTATTGGAAATGTAACTGAATAGCTTCCTCATTTTATTATTGTATATCACCTCCAATAGACTCTACAGGACATTGTCCTCGGATTCACCTTCCGTGAATCTTACTGGAGTGAAAGGGTGATACCCCAAAACCAAGGGTTAAAAAGTAACTCCAATCGTGGAAAAAAGAAACATTCACCGTAATTTTAGAGAACCAGGGAGGTGAAATGATTTGAGTGATTGCAACGGTGTTGCACTGGAAAGAATTATAAAATCTAAAGAATCTGCAATAATATTAGTCCTGACCTGGCATCTCACTTTCAGTCACTTTCCCACTGCTGTAATGTATCTTCCCCGTGCCTCTTCTATAAATACTTTTATGGCAATTGTTCAGATAATCTCTTCATTATGGTATTTAGACTTTATGAATTTAAGCGAAGTACTAGACTGGTGGAAAGATCTCATCGTTGTTGCTTCTCTTTTCTCGCACTTATCGCTTGAGGTAGTCTCTTCTAGTTCAATGCTTTCCAGCCAAATTTGATGGATCACAAATTTAAATTTAATGTCAATCGTTATCTACTGTCTTTGATTTGCTCTTCTATGGTTCTTGTTCCTTGTAATGTTTTCCTGTTCTTTTAGTCTCACTAACCACTTGTGCCTCAGTGGCTTTACTGCCTTGCATGGAGTGGTACGATTTTAAAAAAATCCGATGAAAACTCAGAGATATAACCTGTATCATTTAAAGACGTGAGCCCTCCATAATTTCTTTTTTTTGTTGAATGCTTTGTCCTTGTTACACTTGTTCCTGTATTTGCACAAACTTGTTAAATGCTTGTAAAGTTATTTTAGTAGATAATGTTGATTAATTGTTTTTGTATTTTACGGCTTATCAACCCTTTGTGGTTTATTTAAAACCAAAGCATATTTTCTATAGAATAACAAAGATTTTTCCAGAAACATGACTTACCATAGGTGAAGATGCATCCATATCTTTCCCAAAGGTATTTGAGTGTAAGTGAATGTAGAGAACCCGATTGCAATTCGAACTCGGACCTCCAATTTCTCATTCTGAGCTTCTATCTATTACATCACCCGCACATCCTAACGTCTGAAATAAATAAGCGACTTCATTTTTTATATACGCAAACTAATTGATTATTTAGATCTGGACCCCGTCAAATTAACGTCAGTCGAATCCTCGAGGGTAGATGGTTTCGGGCTTTCACTTTCATTCGAACGTTTGATCTTCTTGCGAGGATGCGAGGTATTTTGCCTTATTAGAAGTCATTTACCGCTAAATAGGTAATGTAAAGTTACAGTATTAGTTTTTAAGGGTCACATTTTTCTATTTGTATCACTAGATCATTTGTATTTGCTTAGTTTTTCAAAAAATCCCCCCCAGAGATGTTTTTGTCACTTAGTATGCACATGTCAATCACTGTGCAAACTGTTTTCTTTTCTAATAATGTCTAGGCGATTTGCTTGTATTGTTCGATCACAAAGGAAGCTAACATCTGCTCTCTGAACTGCGGGTTGTTGTTGTCATTGCTATTGTTATTATTATTTATATTTCCTTTGGTTTCTGGCGTTTACACATTTCTTTCCGGGTCCCGCCCAGGCACCTAAGGTTAGAAATGGCATCATGACACTTTCCACTCTCAAATACATAGATAAAGCCCTTCGTAAAGTGTGGGCTGTATTTGTCAGAACAATTTTTTGTATCTCTTTGAGGCATGGACTTCCATGAATCCCTTCAATTAATCTACTGCAATCTTTTCCAACTAGTCCTAGGGCTCCAACTACAACAGGGATTGTTGATATTCCCATGTGCCACATTTTTGAGATTTCGATTTCGAGGTCCTTGTATTTTGACAGCTATTTGAATATCTTCAAAGATACATTGCAGTCTGCAGGGACTGCCATATCAATAAGGAGGTACTTTTTTTCTTTGTGGTCTTTAATAACAATGTCTGGGCGGTTGGCCTTGATTGTTCTGTTAGTGTGTATTGTGTAGTCCCATAGAATTGTAACAGGTCCTATCTCCTTAACCGGGTCTGGGTGGTGTTCATACCATTTTCTTTCAGTTTCCTTCCCGTAGAAGTTGCAAATTTTCCAGTGCAGATATTGGCCATCTTTGTCATGCCGGGTTTTATATTCAGTCGGTGCCAATATTGTGCAACCTGACACAAGATGATGAATTGTTTCTGGATATTTATCACAGAATCTGCATTTTGGACTAACAATATTTTAGTATGTTTGCTTGATAATTTCTACTTAACAAGCATTAGTCATGTGCAGCAAGGATAAAACCATCAGTTTCAGCTTTCAACCCTGCGCAACGTAGCCACTAACGGAATAAAGACGCTTACTACTTCCATGTTCTTTGAGACAAATCATCATCCAGTCTTCTGTAGTTTTCAGATACCTTTGAAAGCCAATTGTTGTAGTTTTGTAGGACAGTTCTAGTTGAACTAATCCTCTGCCTCCTTCGGATCTGGGCACATACAGACGATCAATATCAGCTTTGGGATGATGCATGCGGTAGCAAATGAGAAGCTTTCTCGTTTTGGTGTCCATTCGCTTAATGTCAGCTATGGTCCAGTTAAGGACATTAAAGCTGCATTGAATCACAAGGACAGCAAAGGGGTTTATGGCTGATATACTGTTTTTTTGATTTCATTACCAGACACACACTCGCCTGAGGGACTCCTTTCTTAACTTCTTCATTTGGGTATGTTGTATAGCATCTCCTTCGCTAATTCCTAGGTACTTATAGGCTTCACATTGTTCCAGTTCCTTATTATTATTATTATTATTGTTATTAATGGATTTCTATGTTTACAAGGTATTTACTTTGTCTCCCCCACTAGATGTGACACAAAGTCTATTTTTAGGTGGGGATCCCGAGCGCGTACACCCGGGATAGGAACAAAAATTCCCCTCAGCCTTCGCAACCGTCGGTTGCACTGGCCCGGGTGCGAGCACTGATTCCTCCTTCTGGTGCAATCTGAGGGCGCGGCCTCGGGCAGCTGTTCCGCAAGGCTGGGTACCTCTCAGTATTATTTTCTCAGTTGCCCCTCTGTCCTTTGAAAGAGAAGCCCCTGAGCGCACTCTGCCCAAAGACAGGCGCAACTGAGAGATGATAAGTAGACGCGACCTTACTCAAAAACAGTAAGGTACACACTCTTTCTATGTTTACACTTGTCTGAACTTTCCAACTCTTCAGCTCTTTCCGCAGAGATTAGACAGCACTGCGAGTGGAACATTTTAAATGCTTTTTTTTGTATTCAAAATTAATGAAAACTCGTTTCTAGTATTTTCGGCACAATTTCACTTTTCTGTGCCATGGATTTTGTCCTGGATTTTTTTTTTTCGTTTTTTTTTTTTTTTTTTCGTTTCTTTCTTTTATTTTTTCGTTTCTTTCTTCTGTTTTTTTTTTCGTTTCACTAGGTTGCAGTGTATGAAGCTCAATGAGCAACAAAATATTAGGGTGACGTTAATGAAGCTTTCTTCTAGACTGGATCGAATAAAGGGAAAAAATAATTAGAAAAAATAATACTAAAGAGAAAAAACCTTATAGGAAGGAGATGAAGAAGGAGAAGAAGAAGAAGGTGAAGAAGAAAAGGAACAAAAAGAAGAAGAAGAAGAAGAAGAAGAAGAAGCCTTTTAGGTCTTGTTGCTGATTGATCGCCAACCCATTTTACAAAATATAACGGGCAGGAAGAATTATAAAACTAATCATATTGATGATATTATTGTTTTCAAAAAGAAGGAGAGAAATAAGAGGAAGATGGAGAAGATGAAATGGTAAAGGAAGAAGAAGAAGAAGAAGAAGAAGAAGAAGAAGAAGAAGAAGAAGAAGACTAAAAGGACGAATAAGTGAAAGAGGAAGAAATCCATGAGGTGGAACGTCGGACATAAGGAAAAGGGATAGGAAAAGATGTGGAAGAAAAAATGATGAAGAAAAGAATTGAACGAAGAAGAAGGGGCTGAAAAGGAAGAAGTAGCAAATAAAGAAAACATTAAAAAAAATGAAGACCATGAAAAAAAAGGGGGAAAAGGATGAAGTCAATAAAGATGGAAAAAAAAAGGTGAAAGAAAAAAGATGAAGAATATTTTGTTGCAAAAAAATCAAACTAGGAATGGGAGGAGAATGAGGAGGAGTAGAAGAAGGAGGAGGAAGAGGAAGAGAAGTAGTAGAAGATGAAAAACAAGAAGAAAGTTAAGAAGAAGATGGAGGAGGAGGGGAGAAGAAGAAGGAGCAGGAAGATGAAAAGAAGACAAAGAAAAAGAGAAAGGACAAGAAGAAGGTGAAGAAGAAGAAGAAGATGGAGAAGAAGAAGGAGGAGGGGGAGAAGAAGAAGAAGAAGAAGAAGAAGAAGAATTCAGTTAAATTTAATAAAAGAAAAATAGATGGAAGAAGTAAAAGAAAAAGAATTGATTGAAAGAAGAAAAAGAAGGAGAAAAAAGATGGAAGAAAAAGGAGACGAGAAAGTCAATGACATGCAATAAAAGAAGAAGAGATAGAAGAAGCCGTGAAAGAGGAAAAGGAAGAGGAATGTTGAAAGAAGAAAACTCAGATGAAGACTCAGAAGAAGAAGAAAAAGGAGACTCATAATAATAATAAGAAGAAGAAAAAGAAGAAGAAGAAAGGAGACGAAAAGAAGAAAAAGTAGACGAAGTAAAAGAAAAAGAAGAAAAAGCAGACTAAGAAGAAGAAAATAAGAAAAAGTAGATGATGCTGATGAAGAAGAAGAAGAAGAAGAAGAAAAATTATTATTATTATTATTATTAGTAGTAGTAGTAGTAGTAGTAGAAGAAGAAGAAGAAGAAGAAGAAGAAGAAATGAATTAACGAATAAATGGCTAAGACGTTATGTTTATATTGACAGATGGAAATCTGTTTCGATGGAACTGTCTCTGCAGACTTTGTTGAAGACCCAATAAAAAGCATCTAAGCCGATCAAATAATAGGATTTTGGAAGAGAAAGAAAGAGGACAGTCGCGTCATGGAGCTAAAAATAATTCAGGACGGGAAGAAAAAAGGAGAAATGAACGAATGTGCAGAGGATGAAGTTGGAAATGAAGAAAGAAAATATGAGAACACGAGTCAGAATATGAAACTGGATAAAAAAGAAATAAAAATGAATAAAGTTGAAAGAGAAAATAAAAAGAGCATAAGGAAGGAAATGAATAAATAAGAAAGAAAGAAAGAAGGAAAGAAAATAAGAAAAGCAGCGTTAAAACAAAACAAAAATAAACCAAAACAAAAATATTTATAGTGAAAAAAGAAAATTATGAACGTGAATGAAATTGTACGGAGCATGAACGAGAAAATGATGTAATGGATGAAGGAAAATCGAAAGGAAGGAAGGAAATGAAAAAAAATGAAGGAGAGAGAGAAAGAAAAGAACAAAAAAGGGAAAATATTAATAAAGCAGAAAAATGTTCTGGAATTTGATCATAGACTTGCACAGATAGATAGATATATAGATAGATAGATAGATAGATAGATAGATAGATAATGAATACAGCAAGATCTCTCTCTCTCTCTTTTTCACACTCTTTATATATATATATATATATATATGTATATATATGTATATGTTTGTATATATATATATATATATATATATATATGTGTGTGTGTGTGTGTGTGTGTGTGTGTGTGTGTGTATGTATGTATGTATGTATGTTTATATGTATGTATGTATAGAGAGAGAAAGAGAGAGAGAGAGAGAGTTAATACAAGTAAAAGGTTTGTCACTTATATGACTGATGTTACCTTCAGCATCCAGACTCCAGAGTTTCGAAGACGGACCATCCGGTAATCACTCCATCCACTCGTCAGGATGTATCAGCAATTGACTTCTTATACGCTTCGAGTGTTCTTTTGCATATGCATTTTTCATTGGTGCAAATTTTAAATTTATATATATATATGCATACATATATATATATATATATATATACATATATATATATATATATATATATATATATATATATATATATATATATATATATTCGATTCTTCCCATTATCTCTTTCTTTCCATCTATCTATCTATCCATCTATCTATCCATGTCTAAATATATATATATATATATATATATAGATAGATAGATAGATAGATAGATAGAGAGAGAGAGAGAGAGAGAGAGAGAGATAGAGATAGAGTGAAAGATAGATAGATAGAGAGATAGATAGAGAGAGAGAGGGGGGGCAGAGATATATAGAGAGAAAGACAGACAGACCGGCAGACAGAAAATGATAGTATGTGAAGAAGCCAAAAACAGAGAGAAGGGAAAGTGAATAGTAGTGAGAGTTTGGGGAGTGGAAACAGAGAAAGTAAATATGTCAAAGAGAGGGATAGTAGAGAAAAAAATATGATGAATAGAGGTACAATTGGAGAATAGAAAGAGAGGTGTTGGGGGAAGAGTAAAATGAAAGTGTGACAGGCGAGAGAAAAAAAAGCGAAAAAAAAAAAGAAGGGAATGAATGATTAGAGCAAAAGTGAAAAAGAAAGAAGATAAAAAGTGAATGAGAGAGAATAAGAAAAGAGAATAGTGAAAAAAGAGAGGGTAAAGAAAAGAAGAGAAAGAAAGAAGAGCAAAAGCGATAGCGAGAAAAGTAGAGAAAAAGAAAATAGGAATGAAAACAGAGTGATAAAGGCGAGAAGAAAAAGTGACAAGAAGTGGGGAAAGAAAAGAGAAAGAGGTAGATAGACAGAGAAAATGAGAAAGTGTGAAAGATATAAAAAGATGATGAGATAAAATGAGAAAGGGGGAGGGATAGTATGATAAGGAAGAGAAGAGAAAGAGATACGAGAGGAAAAGAAGGAAAAGACTGATTAGAAAAGAGAAAAAGAAGACAAAAAGAGAAGATAAAGAAATAAAATAAAAAATAGTTAAAGAAAAGATGAGAAAGGGCGAAAGAGTGATGAAAGAGAAAAGGAAGGCGAAGAGGTGTGATAATAGAGAAAAGGAAGTCGAGAAAGAGTGATGAGAGGAAAATGTATAGATGATACTTAAAAGGAAATCGAGGAAGAGAGATGTACGATAAAAGGAAAAATGATAGGAGAAAAGGAAGGCGAAGAAGTCTGACGATAGAGAAAAAGAAAGATTATATTGAAAAGGAAAGCGAGGAAGAGTAATGAAAGAGAAAAGGAAAAGAGAAAATGAGACAAAGAAAACGAAAATCTGTTTTAAAGGGAGATAATAAATAAATAAGAGAAAATTAGAAAGATTTATAGAGAAGAGAAAAAGGGAAAAACGTAGAAAGACAAAGAAAATAAAGAGAGAGAGAGAGAGAGAAAGAGAAAGAAAGAAAAAGAGAGTGAGTTGTTATTATAGAGAATAGAAAAACAGAAAGAAATAGAGAAGTCGGGAATAGTAAAAGTGAGAGAGTGAGAGTCAGTAAAGAAGAGAAGTGAAAGCGAGAAAAAACGAAGAGAGGGAAGAGAAAAGGGTAGTGTTATAAAGAAAGTGGGAGGAGTGAAAGTGCAAGAGAGAGACGGTGTGAGTGTAAAGAAGAGAAGTGAGAAAAGACAAAGAAGACAAAAGTGTCGTGCGCAAAGAACGTGGTAGGAGTGAAATAGAGAGAGAGAGAGTTGGAGGAAGAGAAAGTGTTAAGCAGAAAAGAGGAAGATGGAAGACTCTAAGACAGAGAAAAAAATATGGTAGTGAAACCAGTGAAGTGACTGGGGTGAGATAGCGAGAGTGTGTAAACTCGACAAAAGAAAGAGAAAAGAAACGAAGGTAGGGAAGACAAAGGAAGTGGGAGGAGTGTGGCAGCCAGAGAGAATAATGAATGAGGTGAGAAAGAGGGTGAATCAATGAGGGATAAAGGAAAATTTAGGGACACAAAGAAGGCACGAGTGGTAAAAGAGAGATTAAAGAAGAGAAAGAGAGAAGAAGAAATCAGAGAAAAGGGGAAAAGATAGAGATATACAGAAAACGGGAGAAGTGAAAGATGTAGAGAGAGAGAGAGAGAGAGAGAAAGAGAAAGAGAGAGTGAGAGAGAAAGAGAGAGAGAGAGTGAAAGTGTGAAGAGAAAAATGGTTGAAAATATGGAAACTGCAAACAAAAAAGAAAGAAAAGTAAAATAAGAGAAAAAGCAGAAGAGAAAGAGTTGGTGAAGAAGTAAAGAAATTGCTTCAAAAGCCAGCACACCACCGTCCACCCGCCAATACCCGAGAGCTGACATGAACAAGAGTTTTGGCGCCATTTTGAAAGAAGCTTCGTGCCGACATTCAACTGAGCGGCAAAGATCAAACAAACGCACTCTGCGGGTGGTTACGCAACGTTCTACAATAATCGGACTAGCCAAGAAAATTCTAAATACGCATCTCAATACATTACAAACTCAAACGGCTATGACAGTAGCAGTAGCAGTAGCAGTATTAGTTACAGTAGTAGCCGTGATTGTGTGCTTGCAATCATTCCGAGAATGCCGGGGTATCGTTAGCATTGCTGGTGGTTGTGATGGTATCATGTGTATTTTGATCTACAGTGGTATCTATACTGTAAGACGCCTACTGATTGATTGTCCGATTAACGGCATATCGACTCCTTGTCGGTCATTTAATACCGAAATCTAATTTTCTTGTGAATTTTGAAGTAATAAAATTGGATTTTCTTGGAAGTTTAGTGTTGTGGAGTGATTTCACAGTGGAGGCTTGTATTTGTACTAAGTCGGTCCTAAAATAGGTTCGACGTACAAAACGTTAGGAACTTGATATAATAGGTAATGACGCAGAGTAATCTAGTTGTGGTCGCTAATACTTTAGTATTCGACTAACGGTCGTCCGGCATCGACTGACCGACTCTTACTACTCCTAGTTATTATAGGTGGGAGAGTCTATTAACTATAGAATAGGTGTGTTCCACTATATTTAGAAATAATAAAAATATGATATATGTTATTCTGCTTTCACAATTGCATACATGGTAAATGATACTCAGCTTTTGTGCAGATATATATTTGTGAGGACATAGTTACTAGAGACGATGATATGTGTGTTTTATGCTGTAGTTTTGTTGAAGTTATATTTTGGAATAAAGTTTGATTCAAGAAATTGTCGGATACTATATGGATTAAAGTCACGAAAGAGATCTTTCATTTTGTTTGTTTCGTTGATTTATTGATTTCGCTTAGCGACATATCAACCCCTCTATGGGTTATTTAATGTCGACATCTAAACTTTTTGAACGCAGTAGTATGCCTTCAGCAACACATACAATGTACTGTTGGTCATTTTATTAAAAAATTTATATTTGGAAATTCTACTATAAATATATATGGTTGGTGATAAATAGGTACTGGAGGTTTTATTTTACTTGCAACTCCATCACTTGACAAGACACCAGAAGTGTTGAAACAAGATGGCTATTTTTGTAGTGTTGTTATACTTATTTAAAAATGTATTTTCATATTTTTATAGTGGTTTGTTTTTGTTTGGGAGTTTACTATTTGCCCATAGCTGGGACCCTAACAGGTGCTACCACTCCAGATGAGGGTGAACCTGGGCACAACAGCAATTAATATGTGGTTGCAGGCTCCTCAAAGCCTCCAATCTCCCGATCAGAGACCTAACTGCTGGATGTAGTTTATCGTTATACCCAGGACTGTCCGACTTAGGAATAAAATACATTAAAAGGATTGCAGATCAAACGAAATTCAAACTATAGGCGTGATAGTATCGGAAGAACTGTAGACTGAGAATGGTAGAAACGTCTTAGGATGAAGTAGGAGTAAACAATTGAGATAGCCAGAGCCTAGTAACTGCTCTCTTACCTGGTTGAGCTCTAGCAGCATAATAAAAAACAAAACTGGTTTGTAACTTTTAATAGTTTCAAAACCAAGCTCGTAGCTTTTCATCGTCACCGAGCTGATACTATTTTTTTTTTAAATCTTTTCATTCTCAGCAAGGCAATAAAGCCACTAAGACGCATGAGTGTTGCTAAGTCTGGTCGGATAGGAGAAAAGAATTAAGTAGAAAGCACAACAATAAATGAATTAAGAAGACAGAAGATTAAGTTGCATTTAAATTATTGAAGGTCAAAGTTGACTGGAATGCAAGAAGCCAAAAGAGAGTTCCACAAGCTATAAATCTGAGAGACCAATCACTATAAAAGGCTCCACACTCAAAGAGTCACCTTTCTTTGAGCGTTTATTTCAAATCAAGTTCACTCCAGACTTCAAGTAGAACTCCTATATACGACCCATCGCCAAAGATGCTGGAAATATGGTCGGCACCTTATACAGCTCCAGAAAGTACCTTGCTTCTCGTGACACGCCCTATACAGCTCCAGAAATTACCTTGCTCCTCCTGACACGCCCTATACAGCTCCAGGAACTACCTTGCTCCTCCTGACACGCTCTATGCAGCTCCAGAAACTACCTTGCTTCTCCTGACACGCCCTATCTTTATAAAAGTCAGAACAGAACAAGAAAAAGATATTACTGCCATATCTGGATTGGAACTGCCTAATCCTCACTTACCAGCCTCGAAAGAATTCAAAAACCTTTTCGTGGACATGTAGGCGATGGATTATTTCCAGGTCTACAGCCTCTTTCCCACAGACGAAATTTTACTAGCTTCTTACTACTCTATCACAATTTTCATGTTCTGGCGCGCTATATTCATTAGTTCCACAAGTTCAGACTTTACAGCTAAAATTTCTAAGCCATGTACACTTGGACGAATCACACACCCCACATCTTCGTTTTCTATTTATCAAGAGAAAGATACATACGGACAACTTTCTTCTAAAAGTCATATATTTATAAGTCTAGCACTCTCCTGTGCTTAGAATATTGTTGCTACATCTGGTCTTGATGCCCAGCTATATATTTAGAGATTCTTGATAAGATCCAAGGAAGAATATGCAATGTTATTGGTCCTGACTTGGCATCTCTGCTTCAGTCACGTTCTCACTGCCGTAATGTAGCTTCCAGGTGCTTTTTCTGCAAATATATTCATGGTAATTGTTCTGATGAACTTTCCTCCATATAGGTCTCATCATTTTAAATTTGAAATTGCATAAATCCATAAGTTCTATGCTAACAGTCTCTTTTATCGCATTTCTCATTTGTGGACCTCTCTTCCTGCTTTTTTATTTCCCAGTCAATGTAGATCTTCAAAATTTAAAAGCAATGTCAATCGTTATCTTCTGTTTTCTTAATTCTTGCTCCTTCTCTAACATTCAGTAACCACTTCCATCCTAGTGGCTTTATAGCCTTGCTTGGAGTGAAATGATTTAAAAAGCCTCTGATTTTTGGAACAGAACCCCGAGGGAATGCTTCCTAGATTACTTCAAGTCTGGGATTAACCGTTATTTATTCTATATGTCGTCATTTTATACAATTCTTAGGTTCGTAACAGAACGCCATTCAGTAACTCCTCTATCTTGAGTGACTCTTGGGCCTTGGATTATGTGGAGATTTTCAGTGATTTATAGTTGCACTGTACCCAGTTATTTATCTAGCATCAACGTGGAAATGTATAAAATATAACAATTGTACTATACTTTTGATTGTTCATTCATTTGTTAGTTTGTTGTAAGTTACGCCCTGCTAATACCGTGATTTTCCAAGCGTAGCTTAGACGTAGCACAAGGCCGAAATTAGAGGGCACCCAGTGAGGATCGAACTCACTAAGTCGTAATTGTTCTAGCGAGCCAATCTTGCTAACCATTACACCACCTCGAGGTGCCCAACGCCCTGCTAATACCCCAGGTAAATAAGGGACTATTCCGTTTCTATCGCGAGGAAAGAAGAAGAAATATATAAGAGACGCGGTTTGGTTTCAGAGAGAAAAAGAAAGAAATAACCTAAGATGGGAAAAAAAGGAAGAAAGAAAGAAAGAAATAGAAGAAAAGAAAACAGAGGATGCTATAACGCTTTTGATTTTAACGTCTGTTTCCGTAAAATGGAAAACCTTATCGGTTTGGAATCACTTTTCATTTTACCCTTTTACTTTTTAAATAATTATTTTTTATATATATATATATATATATATATATATATATATATATATATATATATATATATATATATATATATATATATATATATACTCATGAATTTTATTGTAATATTTGGTTAAAGTTGTCAAGCTCAAATATTCAGAGTCAGTCGAGTCTTTATTACATTTACCTTTTTATTAGTTTCATAACCTCTTATTATTCCGCCTTTTATCTCAACAATCTGTATCAGTACATTCCTCGAACGCTAAAACACACCTCTTCAAATCGGAAAATAATTTTTAACGAGACATATCCTATTTTCGGCTAAGGGAGTTTCAAAATAATGTTAACCTCAAGACCCAAGAGGTCCATTTCTCACAGGTAGTAACTCTCCTTCGGGAGCAGATTGGGGCCATTACCCGGTGTCTGAGGTAGTCCACAGAAGTCTATATGTTTTTCTCCAGTATTGCCGGTAAACCCACTTTAAACTGACCTTGTCTCCCATTCTTCACACTGAAGCATACTCATAACCTGCGACTTTGGATAAAAATGTCAGAAAAAAAATAACGTTTTTATTTTGTTTTTAAATTTTTATCGCAACAAAATTAGTACAGATATACCTCAGCCTATGTTGCTAATTGGTTCCAGAAGTCTCGACATAGGTCGAAATACGACTTAAGTCGAACTAACCACACTGTAAACCGAAAATAAGCAACCCTCTTGGCATATTACAGTATATGTAAATAATTTATCAGCCTTACGATATAGTCTTAAAGACTGTTAAATAAGACGATAACACAGTCACATATATTTTCATATTCTGTTCTCTAGAATTAATGATGATTATATTAACATCTACAGTAAATGTAGGTATTTTAATATGATTTTATATAATTTTATTCTTATTTATTGTACAGTAACATGATTTTATGTGCTTTTAACGCTTTTCTAGTGTTATTACGACTTCACTATTTGTGGCGGACTTTTACATAAAAGTCGAATAAAATGGCTTAAACATGAATTTTATTTTTCCATATGTTTTTTGACACACGACGTATAATCGAGAACGACTTAACTCGAAACGAAGTAACCCGAGGTATACCTGTAATTAGTTTATTATAATTAAATTCATGTTAATATATTTCTGCTCGTATTTTAATTCCTTAGTTAATTAGGATGTATATTAAACATTTGTCAAAGCCTCATAAATAATGGACTATTCCGTTTTAATCTCATAAATAATGGACTATTCCGTTTTGATCTCATATATAATGGACTATTCCGTTTTGATCTCATATATAATGGACTATTCCGTTTTAATCTCATGAATAATAGACTATTCCGTTTTGATCTCATATATAATGAACTATTCCGTTTTGATCTCATATATAATGGACTGTTCCGTTTCGATCTCATAAATAATGGACTATTCCGTTTTGATCGCGATGGCCAGTTGTATGTTGGCTGTTCAAGAGAAAGAATTTACTGTAGTTTAAGTAGATTCATAAGTATTGTCGCATTAAAATGATACATGACTTGTTAAGGTTGACAAACTATTTAATAGGTTCAAAATGCCCCCTTCATGTTTAATACACCGCTGAACCCTATCAGCAACACTTCTACAAATCATTTGACACATTTCTACGTACATTTCAGAAATTGCTTGTTTTAATTCTGGAATTGTTTTCCGTTTGAGCCTGTAACCAAGATCTTTCAGTCCCCACCCTACAAGAAATAGTCTGGTGGTGTTAAGTGTGGTGATCGTGATGGTCTCTCAATTGCTCCAAGTCATCCTTTCCACCTCATCTTGAAGATTTCACCATTTCAGAGCTCGCAAGCCATAGTTTATCTTAAGCCATCTTAAACTTCTCTAAGTTATTTTAGTTCAATAAAAGTTCATAAATGATAATAAATAAGTTAGAATTTCGCACCAGAAAGAAATACGTACACATGGTCAATTGTATCATTCAAGATCAAGAGAAAGTATTTACATTAGTTTAAGTACATTCATTAGTACTGTCGCATTAAAATGATACATGACTTGTTATGGTTAACAAACTATTTAACAGGTTCAAATCCTCCTTCATGTTTCATACAATGCTGAACCCTATCAGCAACACTTTGGCACATTTCTAAATTAATTTCATAAAATTTGTCAGAAATTGTTTGTTTTAGCTCAGGAAGTGATTTTGATTTCAGCGTGAAAACAAGATCTTTGAGTCCCCACCCCACAAGAAAAACTCAGGTTATGTTTGGTCTAGTGTTAGTAACGGACAATCAATTGCTCCATGTTGTCCTGTGCACCTCAACTCGAAAAAATGCCGTAACTTTTGCCGTACACTGTATTTTGATGGTAGTGTCAAATGTTAATCAGTTATTTGTTCAATAAAAGTTAATAAATAAAAAGGACGTTACTTTTGACGTGCTCTGTATTTATATAAACATTTAAAATGTACGTTTTTAAAGCCTTTAAAGTACATTTTAAATGGAAAACTCATTTTTTTAAAAAAAAGGCACAGATGGAATTGAAGAAGACGAAATGATCGACTGACCATTATCATCAGTTCGTGAGATTCAGTTCTAAATTTACACTGACAAATAAGAATACATTTGTAACGTACGGTGACCGTTAATAATTAAGTATAACTCAAGACTTTAATGTTAAAATAAAACAGTATTTAATAAATACTTAACAATAACAAAGATGTAATAGCCAATCAAAGATTTCTTGTTAGTAGAGCGGCTCGTCTTAACGCTCGGTAAATCCTAATCAAAACTCAAATCATGGACAGAAAATAATTCCCTCTAATTCGACTGGATAGTTCCACGTAACAGTAACTCAATAATCACCCCAGTCAGTAGCCTAACGCCGTTATTTATACACCTAGCGAAAACATATATTTATAAATCCACAGTGTCACGTTCTAACCTCGGTGTCGGTAGTTACTCATTTTCTTACTATATGACACTATCTATCTACCCGAGTCTGTTCATATCTATCTATTTATCTATCTATCTTTTGTGGCGTACGTTGGCCACTGATAATTAAATATAGCTCAATCTGTTTAGAGATAAAAAAGAAGAAGAAGAAGAAGAAGAAGAAGAAGAAGCTACATTTTATTCCTATATAACATTTTGTTCTTTCATTTATTTTGAATCTCTAAGGATACACTAAGTGACAACATTTCCATTAACATCATTTCTATATAATCAACAAGCAGTCATCTTCTACTACAGGTAGAGGATAAATTCAGGAAAATTTGCTATATTTTTTTTTTACCTTGTCTTATCTAAAGATCGATTTATACGCCGAACTATACGATAATTATTTTCAGCATTAATTAATTTCTTGTCAGTGCACCTAACCAAATTAATGTTTATAGATTATAAGATTTTGTGACGTACGGTGGCCGTTAATGATTAAGTTCAACTCAAGAGTTCAATGTTAAAATAAAACAGTATTTAATTGCAACGGCAAATAAATACTGAAGAAGAACCAAGTATTAAAATCAACCGAAGATAAATAAGCATTTCAGTGAATACCTTCCTAGTAGCCAGGCTCGGCTTAACGTCCGGTAAATCCTAAATCAAAACACAAATCATCGACGCACAATAATTCAGTCATGTTCAGCCATGGAAATTATTTTGTTTATTTAACTCTTAAATTTTCAAAAAATTCAAACTTAGCGTTGCGACTGCACGCTCCAAAAGTTTGTATCCGTTAACAATAACACATTAAAATATATATATATATATATATATCGATTCGCAATTAATTTTTTCGTCTCGGATGCTACCGGAATTTTACAAAAGCAAAATAATTTCGATACCTGAAGATGACTGAATGTACAGTTGAAAGTACTTGCTTATTAAAGAAAGACATTATACAGCCTATAATTTTTAAAAACAGATCATAACATTCATGGAGTGATTTGTAGGTTAATGCACATTTAAAATTTTATTTGCGAAGGTATTTCGCCATTTTATATCATTAACTTTACTAATCTACTTTTTGTATGAATGATTCATTGTAATATAAATTGAACTGCACCACATATTTGACATATGGGAATCGTATATATGTGTGTCTTCTCCCACTGAACTAACCAGGGTTAGGTAGGAGGAGAAATAGTCTGCCACGATCTGGCCATCCAGATTTTGGGAGGTTCACCTATAAACTGTTGTATAATGCGCATAGATATTCGTTAATGATCGAAGCATGTTCTTATGCACATTATTAATAGAAAGTAGAAAGAGTGTAGAACTGGGGAGAGAAGACTGGGGAACGGAGGGATTGATCTAATTGGCTTCCGATGACTGACCGTTAACAATGACCTTCAGGGTGGTACTTGTTAGGAAGTATTTAATAACTAAGCAATCCATCCAAGACACTCCATAGCTATAGAGTCTATGTAGAAGCACCTGATCCCATACATTGTCAAAAGCCTTTGGCATATCTAGGGCGATGGTCCTCGTGGTGATTTTATTGTCTAGTGCCTTGCTATGATTCTTTGAATAATAATAGTTAAGACATCAGCTGTGGATCTAACAGAGCGATATCCATACAGGTTGTTCTGACCTTGAATTTGCAAAGATCAACTATTGCAGGTGAAGTCATATACTTACTTGAGAGGTACAATGAACCGACCATTTTCCCAGCATCTTTAGTAACAGATCGTCCATATGTTTTCCAATTAAGTTCGGGAGTAAGCCTGTGTTCCAATAAACGTTCAAGACAAGAATCTACCTTGAGAGAACAGCAACCTATCTTGATTTGTAAAAGTTTAGTGTCGGCTCCTTGATAGTAAAATGTTACTAGTTTTGTTTTGGGCGTACTGGATTTTACAAGGTAGTCCTTACCTTATTGAGCCACCAGGGCTAGGCCAGAGCGGGAAAGGTTCCAGGTTCTGGCCATCCAGATTTTTCGAGGGGCATCTCTAAACTGTTGTATAATGCGCATAGATATTTGCTAAAGTTCGAAGCATATTCTTCAGCAGATAATTAATATAGAAAGTAGAAAGAGTCTAGAACTGGGGAGAAATCTCTGGGGAACGACGGAATTGATCTCATTGGCTTCCGACGACTGACCGTTAACAATGACTTACTAATTCTTATAGGTCGTTGCTCAGCAGGTTGTTTCTGTTGAGTTGTTCAACAACCTTCTTGTTAATTTTAGATTTTAAGAGTTTGTCGATGAAACTAATGAGGCTAATGGGATGATATTGCGGCAAGGATGAACGCTAATCCGCATTGTTGAAAACAAGGGCACACAGCTGACACCTTCCAGTGAATTGGGTATCATGTTTCCTTCAAATAGCGGTTAAACAGGTTGCCAAGATTGCAGATAATTCAGGGTCGATATTTTTAAGAATAAACCAATAAGATTTTATTAGGACCGCTGACCTTTTGAGAGTCAAGTCTGGAAATTTCTCGAATCGGGATAGAGATATTACAATGTGTGAGCAAAGTGAGAAGGGAAAAATCAGGTAAAGAGTGGTCCTTATCGGCTAACGTTGCGTTAGATGACAGGTTAATTGCAAATAGCCTTGTCATATGAAGATCTAATAACTTCCCGTTCATTTATGAAAGCAGGCAATGACGTTTTACATCAACTGAGAATTTTATTCGAAGTTTTCCGGAATTCACAGAAACCAAGTACTTTTTTTTCAAACTTTACTTGAACTGACTATACATAACCGCTCTTTACGTTTTCTAGAACTCCCTTACAATGATTGCGGGTAGTTCGGGATGACGCAAGGGCCTGTCGTATCCTGTCGGCATGCCTACATTTTATTTAAAAACAACTGGAAGGAAAAGTTTAACCTACATCATATGTGGTTAGCCACGCTTGATTTTCCACTTCCCCTCGTGTTACAGCTTTCTGATGTTCTTGAAGCCTTACCTTAAAATCAGGCGTGGCTGACCACGTATGGAGAGAAAACGGAGGTCACCACCTTCTGTGGGATCAGGTTGATATCATAGACAAAGAACATTATTAGAAAATTCGTAAACTAAAGGAATCAGCACATATCCTAGTCCACAAAAATCTCCTGAGCCGACCAAGATGAATACAATATGGGAACCAGTAATAAGGACTGTCAGAGAAAAGCGATAAAAATAACAAAATTTGCAATATGAGCTCTGGTAAAGAAACATGCAATGATCGCAGCAAAAATTGCAATATGACCACTGGTAAAAAAAGTAGCTGAAGATATTAGTTTTAATACCCATAAATTCATACGCATATATCCTCAATGGCACAGTGGATAAAGGCGTTTGTTAGATCCAGTGACAGGACCTAAAGAGTGTGAGTTCAATACACGGTTAAGGCGGTGGAGAACTTGGAGAGAGGAATTAACAGCAGATAACTGACAACTGACATCCATTAAACATGACACGTGGAATTAGAACAGTCTAGCCCAGTGAGCGAAATAAAGGGTTCAGTTCGACATTCCAAGCACCTGAAGGAGGCCGAGCGTACAACGCCCGAAACGTTGTGATAAATATGGCGACAAAGATGAGGACAATAGTCAGAATAATATAAATAGTGTCCAGCCAGCCATCATCATATTCAGGTCGTCATCAGCAATAAACATTCCTTTTCAGGAGAACATATATATATATATATATATATATATATATATATATATATATATATATAATAAAAGGCTTAAACATTAATATTCCATGGTCATAATTTATTCCATTGGAATCGTAAATCCGATCCAATTCATCAAACCTACAAATTCAAAAAAGAGCTGTTTTTTTCTGTTTTCTTTTGAATTTGTAGGTCTGATGAATTGATCGTATTTACGATTCCAATGGAATAAATTATGACCATGGAATATTAGTGTTTAAGCCTTTTTATTATATCTTTACTCTGTCTTGGACATTGAGTTCTACCTGGATTCTATCCTCTCGAATTTTTATTCAAAAAATATACATGCATAGGTATGCGCCTACGTATATATATTTTTTATATATTTTGCATACGTATGTATATTTACCACTAATATATATATATATATATATATATATATATATATATATATATATTGTATATGTGCATATTTTTTATATGTGTGTCGTACATATATGTGTTTATAGATATATTTAAAGATTTTGTGTATGTCATAGATATGCTTACATTATATGCATTATTATTATTATTATTATTATTATTATTTAAATGAATAATGACATTTCTCTGTATTTTACTGGATATTTTTGTGGTTAAATATTTATTAATAAAATCTCTCCCTACCTTCACTTACTCTAATATAGAAACATTTTCCCCGACTTCTCTCTCTTCAATAATGTAAATCCACGCTATTTGTTTTACGGTCAAGTTACTTTCACTACTTCATTTTTTTTTATTATTATCGTTTATTTTTTAAATGTCTGGCTTATCAGATTGTCTTGCTAAATTTATATCAATTGCGGTCGATCTCATGAGGCAGTATATATATATATATATATATATATATATATATATACCTAGTGAGCCAGACAAACCTACCTAGGTTTCACCTAAACGGATCGTCAGGGAAAGCTTGGCTAACGAGGCAAAGAGAAACACACATATTTATAGGTGATAGCTAAAATCATACCACGTGACAAAAAAAAAAAAAAAAACAACCTAAGTGGTGGGGGTTAAATATTTATTCAACAACAACAAAAAAAAAAAAAAAAGTCAATAACGGGAAAAATGTCTAATTTAGTAGCCATGATTTTTTATGTCTACATACATTGAGAATTTCAGTTTTAGAGTTCTAAATATATATATATATATATATATATATATATATATATATATATATATATATATATATATATTGTAATAAATATGGCGACAAAGATGAGGACAATAGTCCGAATAATGTAAGTAATGTACATAATACCACATCTCAGAAATATAGAGAGGTTTCTGTTGAAATAAGTTTATTATAGCTGATTATACGATGAATTAATGCCCTATATGAAACAATTTTTTCCTACCATAAACCTTAGATAATTTAATAGTGGAAATG